GATGAACTGTAGGTAGCCGGAGGCGAAACTGAAGTTAGTGGTTTTTAGAATAGATGATGAGTTGAAAATAAACCGTGAAACTTTGAATCAGCCAGCAGCTGGCAAATGTGTTTTCTCATTGACAGCTAAGCGGTGATAAAATTCCCTCACTGTAGGTCCTGACTCCCCTTCAGAAAGCTTATGTGGGCTTGGCATAGTAAAATGAAATCAAATTCCCAGAAGTTCTTCCAGTAAGATGATATACTGTTATTTTTATATGCCTCTGTTCTCCCTCAAACCTTTGCTTCCTAAAATGTAACATCTTCCTCCTGTGGTCCTCATCTGGATTTTCAAATCATCCATCCATCCATCCATCCATCTATCCATCCATCCATCCACCCACTCACCCATCCCATCCACCCAATGAATATCAATTGAGCGCCTGTGTATGTCAGGTACTATGTTGTTCATACTGGATTCCCAGCACTCATGGACAGATACAGTGCCTCCCCTCATGGAGGGCAAGTCACACATCAGACAGGTGATTACAAATTCAACAAGTGTGACCAAAGGAGAATGGCAGAGTGCTTTGCCAACATGGAGCCTGGAAACTTGACCTGGTCCGAAGGATCCTGGAAGGCTTCCTGAGGAAGCCATGCTTCAGTTGAGTTTGGAAGAGTGAGTAGGAGTTCACCAGGAGAAGGAGGAACATTTCCTTCCAGTCCCTCCCCACCACCTCGCCCCATTTCTCCCAGAGGCCTGCCCTCCGTGGTGCTCTGTGGAATTCCCCATCCCACTGTGAAAACTCCCTGTGCATCTCTGATTGCTTCTCTTTATCGGGAACCCTGGGTCCTCCCTGAAGCTCCTGGTCTCCAGCGACCTCTCCCTTCAATTTGGTTGCTTTGCCCCAGCCATCCCCTCCCCTCTTTCAGTTTGGTGAGAGGGAAGACTACAGCGACTCTTTCTTCTTAAACAATGTTCTAATATGACTTGGAAAGGGCATGGAGTAATCGTTTTGTCTTATTTCCAAATTTTGGATAACTTTTCTTATAACAGTTATAAGGCACTTTAGCAGTGGGTCCAACACAGAGTAAACTCTTAATATATGTTATATTACTCCTATTACTATTTTTAAAAGCCTCTGACAGTACATTGCCCATAATAGGCACTCCATAAGTGCTGAGTCCCTTCCTCCATCCCAGTGCCCCATGGCCCAGGCAGGGCAGAGCAGTAGGGCCCCAAGAATCCTGTTTAGGAGGGACCTTGGAGGTCATCTGATCCCGACAGTGGAGTGATTTGTCCAGGGTCACACAACTTGTTAATGCCAAAGTGAGCTAGACTTGGGATCTAGGTCTTAATGCTCAAACCCAAGTGTCCTGACTTGCACTTTAATGCTCTTCCTACTACACTACCGTGTGCTCTCCAGTCTCTGTGGGGATATTAGGTGGGGCTCACTATCTGTGATCACTGAAAGGGTGATAAAGCTTTTGAGTCTGTGTTCTCAGAGGCTCTCTTGTCTCCTCTGCAAACAGTGGGCTGTCTTGTGCAACCCTGGACACTCCTAGGAACTCTCTCCTCTCTGGGAAGCATCTCTGGCTGCCTCTCAGGAAGGGAGTGGGGTGGGCAGAGGATGCAATGCCCCTTCCTGCTATTTCCAAATCCGTCCTGTTTTGAGGGTTTGGAGGACCTGTGTTCCTGTCTCCCTAGATCCCTCAGTCTTTGCTTGGAGGTGCCCCCGAAGCATCCCTTCTGCTTTGCTTGTGGAGGCATTGCCTTCTAGGCGGCAGTTGGTACCTACTGTGCCTCTTCTGTTCTGTAGTTTTAAGGACACAAGGTCCTTTTAGAGACGTGCTCTGGGAGGCAGTACGGCATCACAGTTAAGAGCACAGAACCCGGAGTCAATCTACTTGCTTTTAAATGTTGGCTCTAACTTGGGCAAATTATTTACGCTCTCCAAGTCTCAGTCTCTTCACCTGTAAAAGAGGGACCACAATGGAGGCCACTTCAGAGGGTTGATGAAGAATTAAGGGATCCTACAGTGTATATAAAGCACATGGCCCAGTGCCTGGCACATGGCAAGCATTCAATAAATGCCAGCTGTTATTATTTTCTCATCTGATCCTACAGCAGCCTTGGGAGGCAGGCAGGGCATGTGTTATTAACCCTTTTATACCCTTGGGAAGGCTGAGTTTCAGAAATGTTAAATGACTTGAACAGAGGTCACAAATCCAGTAAATGGCAGTCAGGACCTCAGGTGTCCCTACTCTGAGTCCAGTGCTCCTTCTGTTCTCAGCGTGGCCTCTGGAACGAATGGTGATTCCCCTGGGGACCTGCCTGACTGACTTTCATGTCTGTGAAGTCTCTCTCCTTCCTGCTGCTCCTCCTCCTGCCAGAATTCTGCCTGGTGCCAGTCTCCAGAAACCCACGGGCCAAACCTCTGCCTGTCGCTCCGATGCCATCAGGACGCAGGTATCTCTTGTGAGGGATCAGAAGTGGTCCTCAGTGGCTGCGAGGCTGCTGGGTTGGTTCATCCACGCAGGGCATGCATTGACCCTTCAGCTGGCCGTTCACTTAGCTGTCTGTTGAATGGAATTAGTTCAAGTCCCCACAACTTGAAATAAGACCTATCGTATGTTTATGCATTTGAAAATTGCATAATCATTGAATTCTTATAACAGGTATTGTAGCATATATATGCTATTGCTGAAAAGGTACTAAAGAGTTTTTACACTAGGGTACTTCCTACGAAGGGTAACTTGTTACACAATGCCTCTGGGTGTCTTGCTTTTGTATATCACTAAGAACATTCCATTTCGTTCAATAAAAGCATTGGGTTTCATCCTTTTTTATTGTCCAAGGCATTGGCGGGGTAGATGCTAGTGCTTCCTTGTTCTCTGACCTGTGGAGTATTAATTTCTGAAGCGAAAAACTCTTTCACCTGTTGGCTGGGTGACTCTGGGTAAGTTACTGAACCTCTCTGAACCTTAGTTGACACATCTGAAATGATGATAATTATCCCTCAGAGATACGTAAAGCGTTCAATGAGATGATGTGCATAAGGGACCTCACATAGCAGTGTGCCTGACATTTGGTAGGTGCTTGGTCAGCCTGAGTTTATCTTTACCTTATGTTTCTATCATCCTTCACACTTACCCAGCCGTAGTCACATGCATTATTCTATTTTCTTCTGACCCTGTGGAGCACATGGGACCAGCATTAATTTGAAATATAGATGAATATGGCTAAATTGCCTTACAAAAACCTTTATCAGTTTATACTCCCATTGACCCTGTGTGAAAATCTCTCATTTACTATCTTTACTTAGCATACTGGAAATTTTTAATTGAAAAATAAAACACAGATACAAAAACCCACACATAACAAATATGTGGCTTAATGAATTATTATAAGGCAAACACCACCCAGGTCAAGAAATAGAACTTTGCCCCCACTCCAGGAACCCCTCCATGTGCCCCATCCCGATCCAAAGCCTTTTTTCCTTATAAATAACCACTCTTCTGACTTTTATAGTGATTATTGCTTTGCTCTTTTTAGGTTTTTTAGTTTTTGTTTTTGTTATTTTAGTGAGGAAGATTGGCCCTGAGCTAACGTCTGTTGCCAATCTTCCTCTTTTGTTTGTTTCTTCCCATAGCCCAGTGCATCATTGTATATCCTAGTCGTAGGTCATTCTGGTTCTTCTACATGTGACACCGCCACAGCATGGCCTGATGAGTGGTGTGTAGCTCCATGCCCAGGATCCAAACCAGGAAACCCCCGGCTGCTGAATCTGAGTACACAAACCCAACCACTTGACCACTGGGCTGGCCCCTCTTTTTAGTTTTATTACTCAAATGTGTGTTTTGAGATAATATTGTTTAGTCTTGCCCATTTAAAAAAATATGATATTTCTTTTAAGTCTCTTTTAATCTGTAAGTTCCTCCTCTGTCCTTTTTTTTTCTTTACAATTTGTCTATTGAAGAATTCAAGTCATTTGATTTGTAAGTTTCCCGCAGTTTGGGTTTTGCTGATGGCGTGCTCATAGTGCAGTTCAGCATATTCCTGAGTCCTCTGTTTTTCTTACAAATTGGCAGATTGATCAGAGACTGGGTCAGAACTCAGGGTCAATCTCTTCGGCAAAACTCTACGTAGTTTTAGGCATGACTACAGGAGGTGCCGAATGTCTAATGATCTTTCTTTTAATGCTTAAGTTCATTAGGGATTGCGGAATGGAGAATTAGAATAGAGTGGAGAATTAGAATAGAATTCTAATTCTATCATTTCTCTTTCATTTATTAGTTGGAATAGTTTTCTAAGAGACACCTTCATTTATTATTTGGTTGCCCAGTGGTACAGTCAACTAGAAAAGGTGTGATAAATGCTGGATTATTTCCCTCTACTTACCATTTTTCAAGACGATGAGTTAGTTTCCTATCATCCTCTGAGAGTGACCAATCTTTTTTTTTTTTTTTTATATCATCACAGACCTATGGACTTAAGTATATTTGACAGGTTTTAATCTATTGCAATTATTGTCACTGAAGCTCAAGTTGTACCATCTTTGGCCAATAGAAGCTTCCTCAAGTTTGCTCCTGAGTCCTTTTTGACATGACTCTAGCAGTTTTTTAATTGCTTCTTCACTATTTGGTGACAGTGTTCCAGATTCCTCTTGCATATTTCCTGCTCCGGACCTGGAATGATCCATTTCTTTGAGGATTACTGGTTTCTTTGAATGAGAAATTGTCTTTCAAGGCCACACACTCTGGTTGCTAGTGATGATCATTGTCACTGAGATTAGCGATTGTTTCCAGACCTTCTCAGCAGACAGAACTGGTGAGGGGGTTGAGGTGGGGGTGGAGAATTTATTGCTTGCTGATAACACTTGTCTGCGCCTTTGTTGGAGGAGGTCATTAAGAGGATGTGACCGCCAGTTGACCTGAGAGCTGGGCTGGCAATTAGAGGCTCCTCAGCCCCTCCCCTGTCCTTGGAATGTACACTCTACCTGCCTTTCCTGCACTAGAAGCTGCCTCAAGGACACAAGCTTGAGAGCAATGTGTTGTTGAGACCATCTGGACAGTATGAGTGATTGAACACAGTTAAGGCCTCTATATAAACTTTAAGATTCTGGTAAGCGGGCGCGGCTTTGTACTTGTCTGCAGCGCCCAAGACAAACTGCATTAAGTAAGTTCCCTTGCTTCTTAAACCTGCCGCCTGCCAGTCTGGAGTGTCCTGCCTCTTTCTTCAGTCTCACCTTGCCCTCCCCCTTCAGGTGTCAGTTTCAGATTTCACCCAGGAAACTCCCAAGTTTGCAAATCAACAGCCTTTTACACTCGAAGGTAAGTTTTACTAGATACTAAATCTTTGGCTCACACTTTCTTTCCTTGAGTATCTTAAATATGTTACTCTATTTTCTCTTGGCGTAAAGTGTTGCTGTTGAAAAGTCTGATAATTATCTGAATTTCTTTCCCTTATTAAGTCATATGTTCTTATTTTCTAGACAGTTAAAGGATTTTTCTTTTTCTTTAAAAAGTCCAGTAATTTTACTAGAATGTCTTGGTGCTGGTCATTCTGGGTCAATATTCTTAGGTAAGAAGTCTGCTCTCTCAATATGAAGTTTCAAATCTTTTTCGTTTCAGGAAAGTTTTCTTGAATTATAGTTTTTAGTATCTGTTCTGTTCCCTTGGTGAGGTCTTCTTTAGGGACTCTGTTAATCTGTATGTAGGATTTTCTTTGCCTATCTTCAATATTTGTCAGTTTCTCTTGAATCTTTTTTATCTCTTTCTTCATTTCCTTTTCCCCCCTGTTTTTCACCTTCTATTTCTCTTAAGAAACATGTTGTCTTTATTTGATCTTGTGTTCCTTCTAGTCTAGTCTTCATTTCTGAAATGATTTTTTTCTTTTCTTTTTAATTCTTCCCTGAGTTCTGTCACCTCACTTCCGAGTTTTTCTAATTCTGGTTTATAATTTTTTTTTTATGTCTTGTAGTTTAAAAACTGTGTTTGAGCTTGATTTGAAACAGTCATAGTTTTATTTTGTTTTGTGGACATGTCTTTCTATTATGCAGTTTCTCCGAGGTGTGGAGCCCACTCCTAGAATTAAGGCCCCAGTCTTTACCGCAGACCCCTTACACTCCCCAAGAACTGGAGAGGGCCAAACCTTTCCCCGTTTCGGCTGCTGTTTTCAGATTGGCCCTCCATGTTTCCTGGTCAATACCTGTGGGCTATTTCAGGGTTCTCCTCTTCTCAGGTACTGCCTAGTCGCTTCTCTTTCTCTCCTTTCTCCTGCATGGATGTGGCCAGTGCTTAGGTCTTGTGGCCATTGGTAGTTTGTCCCCATTTGTTTGTATTTGGGGGCTCATGCGTATACTATTCGTTTGTATTTGGGGGTTCATGAGTATACCATGTTACATTTTGATGTAAATGTTGCCCATTTTTGGTTTATTATCTAGTTGCTCTGGGGTTTTTTTTGTTTGTTTTTTGGATTTGGAGATATTGAGAAATTATGATCCCACTGCTGCCATCTTCCCAGAATTCTCTTTATAACAATTTAAAATTTTTTGTGTGATATCATATACTGACATTAGGCCTAGTATATAAATATACATAAAATATATAATATAAAATAATCATATACGATAGAATGTGTATAACATATAATCATATAATATATGTATATTTGTGTACCTGTATATAATTCTACCACTACAACAAAATGTAACAAAAAGAGAGAAAACAATTACCCAAAACCCACAATACATTAGCTGTTTTGCGTTCTTCCTCTGGTTTTGTCCATCAGATTTATTGGTTCATATCATACTTCACTCAGATTTAAAAATTTTTATCAAAGCCATAATATGCATGGTTAAGAAATCGAGTGGTGCTGAAGGCTTACAATGAAAAAACAGTCCCTGCCTCACCCCCCTAACTCTCAGTCCTACTCCTTACAGGCCGCCATTTTGAATCCCTTTAGCTGTTTCTTCTGGTCGTTGTTCCCATATCTCTAACTAATATGCTCGTGCTACTATTCCATGGTCTACCGTCTTCAGACACTTCCTGATTACTTCCTGATGTAACAAATGAGGATTTATGTCTATTGCACCAGTCTCCCCTCCCCATTCAATCCTCCCAATGTGGTAATTTCATTATTTTCAGTTAAATGAGTTCATTATTATGACCATGTAGATATTATTAACTACAAAAGGAAGTAGTATATTTTGATTACATTTAATTTCTTGTATTACCTTCTTTTATATCCACCTCCCGCCTCCCCCCTGACCCCCTAAGCTGTGCCATTGGATCAGTGTCTGGTCTCTGGAACCTTTCCTTCTGCCCCATCTGGATTCTGGGATTCTCCTTGACTGCTCTCTTGGTTGTTATCCTGTTTCCTGGTCCCACATCTTCCATTTTGTTGGTTTAGTTCCTTGTTTTGCTCTAGCATATTCTCAAATTATTTCCTAAAATAAGGTGTATTGGAAACAAATTTCTTTAGAACTTGTATATGAAAATATCTACTTGAATCTGAAAAGTACCTTCCTTAGAATTTTGAGGCATTGTTCCTCTGGCACATACTGCTACTGTTGAGAAATCTGATAATATTCTGATTCTATTTACCTTCAAGGTAACTTTAAAAAAAAAATTCTTCACTTGGAATCTTTTAAAATCTATTCTTTGTTCTTGGTACTGTAAGACTCTATAACGACTCGTTCTGATAGGTGTCTTTTTGCATCCTCTGTTCTGGGTACTCAGTGGAATGCACCGTGTGGAAACATCAACTCTGGGAATTATTTTCAACTATTTCATCCTCTCTAGTTTCTCTCTTCCCTCTTTTCAGAACTCCTAAGTCAATAGTTAGAGTTTGGACCTCTTGTGTGGATCTTCTATGTCTTTCTTTTTTTTTTCCTCTCTCATTTTCTGTCTTTCTGTGTTTTTATTTTGATTTCTGACTTTATCTTCTGACCTTTCTCTTGAATTTTCAGCTTTATCGCATATATTTGAATCTCCTGCTCTGGTGATCTAGTGGTTAAAATTCAGCACTCTCACCACCACTGCCTAGGTTCACTTCTCTGTCTGGGAACCACATCACCTATCTGTTGGTTTTCATACTGTGGCTGCTGCGTGTTGCTGTGATTCTGAAAGCTCTGCCACCAGTATTTCAAATACCAGCAGGGTCACCCATGGTGGACAGGTTTTAGCAGAGCTTCCAGACTAGACAGACTAGGAAGAAGGACCTGGCCACTTCTGAAAAAATTGGCCACAAAAACTCTATTAATGGTCGTAGAGCATTGTCTGATACAGCCCTGGAAGGTGAGATGATGGAGCAAAAAGACTTCATAGAGTCTTGTTCTTATTTTATGGATGCACTATCTTTTCTACTCTCCTTTAAGATAATATTTATAGATTATTAAGTTAGAATGTCACTATTTCTTGTTTATCTTTTTTTTTTTTACCATGTGGGAGGTTTTTTGTTTTTAATGTTCCTTAAATAATCTGGTGATTCTTGGCTGGTCCTTTCAATTGAAAGAATGAGGCATGGCCAAGCTGATGGGAGCTCCGTATGTGAGTGGGAAGGGGGCACTGTATGACTGGCAGGCTTTGCTTTGGGTAAATAGAGAAGATACTATTTCTGTGCTGGAGGATAAAACCAGAATGAGATGGTCTTTTTTCCTGGGCCGACTTGATGTTTTTCCAGAGAAGAAACATCTAATCTTCAGCCACAGCAGGCGTGGAGAAATGTCTGCCTCCTCATTAGTGCTCTGTGAGGCTGGGGGCTGGGGGTGGGTGGTGGCAAAGAGACAGGTAGGGGTCCACTCTTCCTAACACAAACTTTCAAACAAACAGAGGGATCACCTGTGTTTTCAGCCCTGAGTTTCACTTCTGCCTTTCTCTGAACTGGAGTCTCTGAGCCCTGAGCCTCTGCTGGGTTCTTTGAGGGCAAATTTCCTCTCTTTTTGTCTGTAGCGCCCCTAGGAACATGCTCTGGTGGGCTTGCTTGCCCTGCTACATCAATTATCACTCTTCCGTTGGCTTCCTGATGACTACAATTCTGTTGAAATCCCTTATTCACAATATACTTTCTCACTCCCATTCTCTTTTTTGTGGGCATTGAAAAAAATTCATTTACTATAAATTTAATGGAACCTAAAAAGAGAGAGGAGATAGATATAGGTGTTCAGTCTACCATCTTCAACTGGAAACTTCTGGTATTCCAATTTAATGAATTTACATCACAAATTATTTGCTGGGCGACTGGACAAGGCTATTTCTAATTGTCTCCTTTGGGCATGTATAAAAATATGCTTAATGTATGTCTCTGTGGACATATAAACCAAAAAAAGAGATGGCACTCATTTAGTTAAGCTCCCTCGAATGGAATCGGTGCTGGGAAGTACCGGTGAACAGAAATCTGATTTACATTCTGCTAGATAGTGGAATGAACCCAATGACACAGGTTTACTGCATTTGATTGTATTTTGGGCTTGTATTATTATCTCAATATTTTTGTGTTAGTGACAAAGAGAAGACTTAGGGTGTCTGGGATTCTTTGAAACCTCAGCACTAGATTGAGTCTCATGACTGGAGCCAGACTCTGGCTCAGAATTCCAGTTTCTAAGCTTCCCTTCTTTGCCTTCTTAATATTCCTGCTGCACCCTGTACCCACTAATCTTTAAGTATCTTGTGATCAGGAAAAACGTCTAGCTCATCTTTGTGTATGCCACGTTGAGCACAGGGCCCAGCACATACCACACTGTGAATGGACAAATGCTTACTTGTATGACTAGGTGTACGGTTTGTATTACATGTTTACATATTTGTCTCTTCCTGTAAGAATGTAAGCATCTCAAGGGTAAGGATCAGATCCTACTCATCTTTGCAACCCTTTTCTTAGTACTCACTGAATGAATTAACAAGACTAAGTGGGAACAGAATGTCAGAAGACCTTTAGCAAGGACCCATCCTTTTTGGGTCTCCTGATGTTTTAAGGGCCAAAAGTAATTTCACAGCTGTGGCTTCTAAGATTAAGAGAAGAGCTTGAACAAAGGCAAATTTACTCAAAGCACAGCTGTATCTGTGCATGTATTCAGGCCTGTCCCCAACAGCACTACCTCCCATCCCCAGTTCGTGACAGATCTCAGAGTTGCATCCCCCAGGGCTGGCAGCATCACTTGTGCTGCTGGAAAAATGCATTCTTGCTCTCTCTAGCAGCTGATTAAATTCTATTCCCCATGGTGCTTGGAGCTTACTTGAAGCCAGAGGGGCGGGGGGTGCCTAGACTAGATTTGTTCCTGAAATCTCACCAACTCCTAGAGGGCCCACCACATAGTCCCTGTTGCATGCAC